TTTTAGCTTCACGCTGTTTAAATCTGTGTAAATATGTTGTAGGATGGAAGGTGTAAGAAGTACTTGTGCATTTACTGCAGAATTAACAGCACGATGATTATTTGGAAAATCTTCTCAAATGTGTTACGAACAGAAAAATCTCGTCAAGTTGCACAAAGAGTCTTGACACTTAGCTGAGTACAAAAGCCAAATCACGGTGTAATCCATCGTCACGGTGAGTCAGTCACAAAACAGCAGCTCCGCACACACCGGGAAACGCTGCCAAAGATATCGTGTAAAATGTAATCCAGTTTGGCTTACAGGTAAACGTCGGGGTGAAAGCAAGGCTAAGATGAAGAGACTGAGAACTGATGATGTGAATAGAACTAAAGTGTCTGCACAGAAAATACAACATTAATAATAATAATATGATAGACAAGAGGAAAACCCTTGTTTATTGGAGTAAAGTATTATTAATCTACAACGTTTGTCTTCTTCTTGGTGCAGAACACCGATGCGGCGTTACTCCCGACCATCAGCTATCCAGCGTTTGCGGTGGACGACGACGTTCTGTCCAGTCAGACACTGGACAAGATTGTTCGCAAGCTGCGTGGAAGATACGGCTTCAAACGTTTCCTCCGCGACGGCTATCGCACCGCTAACGAAGACAAGGATCGTCGCTACTACAAACCCGCTGAGATGAAGGTGAGTGTGGATGGATCTGGTTTGTGCTTTAGTCATGTGATCTACTGACCAGGTAGGTTGGTATTTTTAGGTAATTGTTAATTAACGCAGATGTAAAAACATTCAAAAGTAACTGATCCTCACAACTCTCCGACCTTAGGTGGAGGTTTTCAAGGATTGGAACACATTTGTATTCTGTAGAGAAAAACTGTAACTTCACTACAATCACCCAATAGCCCCACCTAATGGTAGCATTAATCCTAAAAGATTGAAATGGTTGTGTTCATTCTGTAAAAGTTTGACTTTTTTTTTTCGAACAAAAAGCTTGAAAACCAATTTTAGCTCAGACTGTCCCCAGAAAACGTCAACTTCTGACAAAATGATGAAACATTCCCCGGAGCATCCCCTCTCATGATTTGTCAGAATGAGCAAATAAGAATCTCAGTGTGAAGCTAAAGATTTTTGCATTAGGAGCTGAGGCTTTTTTTATTTTTACAATTGATGTTCGGACTGAGACAAACGAGGCAGTGAAGGAAGGAAGTAGCAAACAGGGCCAATGGGAGTGACCTTTGGACCCGGGGACATTCAGCAGTTGGCAGTTAATGTGGCTGCAGATCAAATGTCTATATTCACTGTGTGATTCAGAGCTGTGGGAAGCCAAGTTTGTTCCCTGATCCCTGAACAGTTTAGACTGGTTGTCAAAACTGCATCAGCTACAAAGATTAGAGGTTCGGTCACAGCATCCTAAATAAGTATAATCTCCTAAAAAAAAAAGAATAAAGTGCGGTCAATTTCAGTACATTGTTACCTGACACTGTATTTGTACTCAGACCTGAACAGTTACTGTGTCACATCCAAAAGAAACAAACAACCAAAGCAATCTTTCTCTTCAGAGTGGCTGAGCTCACCCTCAGAGACAGACCCAGGCCTCGGAACAATCAATAGAGGCTGATCTCAGTAGAGCCTCCATCAGGATGTCTGTGGTATTATCTTTTTTTTGGGAGGGGGGACTAATACACAATGGATCTCCCATTTGGAAAGTTGGAAAAGCCGTTGTTATCTCAGTTAGATGATGGGCTCCTTTATCCTGTATCTCTAGTATTAAAAACTCAGACTTAACATCTATTTATCTATTTATTTATTGTTCTAACGCAGCTGAACACAAAGAAAGGTTAGGCTGGGAGTAGAAATCCGTTATTGTTGTGTTTCTTAAATGGACTTTTCTAAGATTTGGCAGAATAATCACAGCTCTCTCAGCTGTCGCAAGGAGATAAATATGAGCCGAAATAAAAATAAAAAGTCACACTTTTTTATTTAGCTTTTCATATAAAGAAAAACTACAGCATTTTTAGAACATCCTGAATATTAGATTGACTTCAAATAAGTATAATCTCCTCTGATACTACTACTACTGCAACTTGGAGTATCTGCAGATACTGATATCAATCCTACTCCTTCTTTTCTGCTCCAGCATGTTGTAGGTTCCTGGTTCTGATGCTACTGTGTCCCTGTTTACGAAGTGTCGTGTGTCAGAGTTAAGTTTAGCATCTGTGCTAAGGTACCAGATCAGATGGGCTGTTTTTGTTGTTGTTTTTTGCGATGTTCAATCCTGACATTTTGACCAATATCGCACTGATACCGATCCTTGGTATCAGATTGGACCATCCATACAGTATATAGTATTCATGAATGTGGAAAGTAGCGAGATATAAGCTGATATTTAAACAAGAAAAAAGATGTTTTTGTAGAATTTAAATACATTTTCTCTGTTCCTTTTTCTCTGCACTTGTCAGAAATTTATAAATGTTGAAATTAGGAGGTAATTGGAGGAAAAACAAAAGAAAAAAACCATACTGGACAAAGAAAGAGAGTGATGAAAATGTTCAGTTATCTTCATGCAGGGAAGCTGTTTGGTCCTAATCCTAGTTGTACTTTGAATCTTGCCTTTTTTTTCTTTTTTTCTTTTTGTTAAAGCAGCACAGCCAATGCAGAGGAAACCGATTTTAATTCTGCAGCTCCGTCTCAGCTCTCCCAGCCGTAGGAGGCAGATTTATGTGAATAGACACTGATGCCAGTAAAGTTTCAGACGGTAAACAAATGATCGCTGCTGTTGCCATTTGATTTCCATCAACTAACAGGAATATATTTGTTCCTACATCAGCAAATACAGCAGCCGAGAGGACTCCTGGCACAGTCGCATTATATACTGTAGAAATGTGCCAGGTGCTGGTTTATTGCGTAATGCGGTAAATATTTTTGTAGTCGTAAATTCTTAAATAAACCCGCTGACTGCTGTGGATTATTGAGAAAGGAGGAAGAACCTGCAGGTTTGGAGAAGTACGAGAGTGAGGAAGGTGCTCTGGGTTTCTGCATCTTTTTCTGAGTGATTATTTCACACTCGTTCATAAATCGGCAGAGGAGGGCGTGTCTGAGGAGGAAGAGTAGTCCCTGGTAGACCTGGGTCTCGCTGCAGAAGACGTCAAGAGAGCTTGTTGTTGTTGTTGTTGTCTAAAGAGACAATTGACAGCAGGGCGGACGCCCGTAGTCCCCGACTGTTTACCATCGACAGGAAGCAGCAGCCTGTGTGATAGACAGTTTTACCAATCAGTGGAGCCGCTCAGGCAAAAAACTCCAGGGATTCTTGCCTGTTTACAGCCTCAACAGTCCAAGAAGCACAGGCCTCGCTGGGTGACTGCCTCAGCTCTTGGTTTTTTGTCTTTTTTAAGTCTTCCTCCCGTTTGCCACAAAAACAAAAAACACCTCTTCCTCTAATTCTCTGCCTTTTTCTGCTCCCTCCTGTATTTGACTCGTCTCTCAACATCTGACGGCCGCAGTTGGTTCTTATCGCGGCTGGATCCTGGTTTGAAGCCACGTGTACCTACATTATCACAGCGTGCAGACGTTAATGGAGGCTGTAGTCAGTTTGGCTGTAGCTATATTTGAACTGAATTTGGTTCTATATAATCTGGACTTTTGTTTCTCTTTGGTGTTTATGTGAAATTCATAGAGATAAAAAACAAAGGCTTTACAGATTAGAGTGGGTGTTCACTTTGGAATTGAGGTTCAAATTCACGAAGGTCACGACCTCTGCCTCTCACATGACCTGTTGATGATACCAGGCCACATCATGCATTTCTGCTGAATTGTCTGTAGGTGAATGTGAGCAAAATGAGTCGGACTCATGAAAAATGACGATTACATTTTTTTGTTTTTTTAATTTATTGTTTTGTTTTAAATTTTTTGCGTGATGTTTATCACTTTAGATCAGTGGTTTTTTTTTAATTTCTCCTCTGTACCACCTGAGAAAACATTGATCTCTCTGAGTACCACCATGATGACCAACAGTAGAATACAGCAGCGTAGGCCTTCACTGTTAGCTTCCACCAAAGAGGAGAGATGTTTATAAAGATGTTTTTTTTAAGGAGAGATGTTTATAAAGATGTTTTTTAAAGATGTTGTATTAGTTGTGCATGGTATGTTTCAGATTTATTCAGTTGAAAATGTAAATGTGAAAATAGGAATTTTCCCCACATAACACTAGAGAGCGCTCGGTACGCGTACCATAGTTTGAGAACCACTGCTATAGAGAATAAACATTCAGCTAGGTTAGAACTCCAGGTCGAGTTAGTCGTCTCTCCCTGGAAGAATCACTACTCTAATTTATTCTGTTAATTATCATTCACAGTGCTGCGTGTGCTGCATGGTGCCTTTTTTTGAGCTGCCTCTAAAGTCAAAGTCATCTGCTTCTCTGCCCGCGACTTCTTTTTGAAATGGAAAAGCAATAATCCCTCTCCTCTCTGTCTCTTTTGCAGCTTTTTGATGGAATCGAGTGCGAGTTTCCCATATTTTTCATCTACATGATGATTGACGGTAAGCCTTGTTCTGTCCATAGTTGCCGTTGCTGCGTCTCAAGTGGGTCCTTGCGATGATGGAAGACAGACTTTGTCCCATCTGACAGGAAATTACTTTTTTTTTTGTTTGCCAGGCTTTACAGGACCTTTAGACACTCTTTAAATGAAATGTAACGTGTAAAAAAGTGAACGACACGATAACGATCGTAATGTTGAAACATTTACGTGTCAGACTTGTCCAAGATCAAAGATCTGAATTATCATCTTTAGGTTATTAGTCTGAACACATTTTATTTTATATTGAGACATCCATCTAATGTAGGGGTGTCAAACATGCGGCCCGGGGGCCAAAACCGGCCCACCAGGCAGTTCAATCCGGCCCGCTTGATGAATTTTTAAAATGGACAAAATAAATAAATAAAAAAATAAAAAAATACACAAACACTTCTTCTTCAGGATATTTTTTCTAAAAATATGTTTCATTAAATTTGAATGAATACTAGATACTACCTAATATATTTGTACTTGTTTGCATGAAAACAAAGAGAAAAAACATGGTCGTATTGTCATTTGTAGTTAATGATGTTATGATTGTACTGGTCCGGCCCACGTGACAACTAATGAGGTTGGACGTGGCCCATGAACCAAACTGAGATTGACACCCCTGATTTAATTAGCTTAACCCTGGTGGGCCACAAAAAATGACGTGGCGGGCCAGATTGGGCCCGAGAGCCTTGAGTTGGACATACGTGTATATTTACCTGCTGGAAAGATGATTAAACTGTGTAATAACAGTTAACTAAATGACTGAGGTGTTAGCTAAAATAAAGTGGACAAAAATCCTTCTTCTGTGGCAACAAATCATCTGTGTCCATTTAATAAAGACAGTCTTTGATATTTATGTCTACGTTTTTCTAGGCCTCTTATTAACCCTGTTTCTTGTGTGTGTGTGTGTGTGTGTGTGTGTGTTTGACACAGGGGTGTTCAGAGGGAATAAAGCTCAGGTTGAAGAGTACCTAGAACTCCTCCAGCCCGTCATCTTTCAGTCCTATGAAGGTGAGTCATTACCAACCTGTTCACCTCACATCAGTTCTTCTTCTGCTCCACTCTAGTTTTATCATCTGCCGACATGAATTCTGATTCGTCACAAAGTGTTACATCCTTAATGAGCAGGATGTCTGGTCTCTGCTTCATCATCATTCACCAGAACCTAATGACCACTGAAATGTGAAGTTTCATTCGTGGGTTGGATGTATGAGGGAGCGAGTGAACATTTTTGTCATTAAAATGACTTTGTTTCAAAGCATTAAACAATGGGCAGGTGTACGATGTCAGGTTAACGTGGTCCAAGTTGGCAATGAAGGTGGGAGAACTGGGTCTCGGTGTCTTCAAAACTGCAGCACTGTAGTGTTCGTGGAGAGTCCGACGTGGTCAGTATCCATGAAAAGTGGTCAGTGAGAGAAAAAGCAATGAACTGACCTCAGGGTCACGGCCAGTTGAGGAGTTAATAATTCATGAGGGGATGAAGGCCAGTCTAAATGGTTCGATCCATCAGAGGAGCTACTGTAACTCATACAGTAGAGCTGCTCTATAAGCTATGGCTGGGGTTGATAAAAAAAAAATGTGTCAGAGCCCATGCAGACCTGTAGCCCCGTCCACCACCAAAAAACTGCTCCGGTGTTTTTGGAATGCTCGTCTAGAAACACAAGGCGCCAGGATCCACCATAGGTGGAGGACCAGTCATCGCAGAGACACGGTTACGTTGGACGATCGTCCTACCTTAGCACATCTTCAGCTCATGTAATGTCCATAGAAACAATGTCTCTGATGTCTCTGTGATTGACGTAGGTTGTAAATCTAGGTCCCACCTTGCAGCTGATAGCACTTTAGTTGCTCCTAGTCCTGGTGCCAGATACTGAGGAACATCTCCAAAGGTCTGTGTGTGCAGAATAGTAATGATAAAGTCACTGTCAAATGTCTCTCGTGTGAGTATCTGGGACACAGCGATAGCTGATTGAGGACGTCTCGCTGAATGGATCTGATAGAACGATCAGGTCGCACAGACACTTACGGGAGTTCAACTCACTTTATGTCTCAAATATATAGCTGTGCCAAGTCTAATAGACTTTAGTACAAGTATGACTTTTGAAGACGTTCTACAAATGAAGGACACATTTCCCTAAAAGTAACCTCACTGCTCGATACGTCTAAATAAAACTGCAAATACGACAGAATGGGTTTTCTTGGCAATTCTACCTCAAGCAGCAGAGATAGAAGGAGCAGTAACATAGGCCTGAACATCAGTGAGGAATGATGTTGAGGTATAGTAAACATTAAACAACAGAGTTAATTTAATCAATTTAAATGGATGGATAGATAGAAAATCAAATGATACAATAATGAAGTTTAGAAATATATTTCCATTTGACAAAACACTGTAAACATTTTCCCTAATGGCTGCCAACACCACGTCTCAACCGTTGCCTGTACTGAATAGACCAACTAAATCAAATAAAACATCACTTCGATTTACATCTGTCACCTTTTAGTCCGACCTTCAGCTCCTCCTAACCTATAATTTCCTCCTGTAATAAACAGTTATGTAGACGTTGGCCCTGGTGTTTGTGACATTCATAAACCGGGCGTTCTGCAGCAACATCAAAATGCATAATTCTATTCCAGCTTCCCGCTAATAAACATTCTTTATTCTGTCGACTAAAATATCTCTGCTTTAGCTCCTTTCCCCCCGCTGTAGTCTGGGAGCACAGTAATAACTATGCTAATTTCACAGATTTTAATAAATGTTCCATAATTGGAAACCAGGCTGTTTCCAAACTGGCATAATCACTTGTCTTAAACAATAATGAACTGATTTGTTCCCAGGCTCAGCAGGCAGGCCTAGCTGTTTTCCTACATACTAATGATACATTCAGTTCCTCTAAATTCTCCTCTGAACGAAATTTATCCCAAACCGTCACCAATACTACAAATGTGGAATTAACAGATACCAGATTACAGATTATCTGTCGAGTTTCAAGAGGTCGTTCACCGCCACACGCTGAG